TCTAGATGTGTATAAGAGACAGCTTCCTCCTCCTCCTCCTCCTCCTCCTCCTCCTCCTCCTCCCTGCAGACTCTTTCTGTCCTAGAAGGGTACCATCTTCCACCCGAATACAACTTGAGGTATCTATGGCCGCCCACCAGCAGGTAAGCTTCCTCTTCCTTCTTCGCAACCCGTTTTGAAATATACCCTCCTCCTTCAATCTCCACCTCAGCATACCCTCCCTCTCTCTACGGCACCCCACTCATACCCCTCAGCACCATCTCGTGCTAAGCCACCACTATGCGCCCCAGGCAAAAAAATATCACTACAGTAGTTTGCATGCAGCGCCACTCTCGGATGAACAGTGGTACTGGACCAAAATGACTGGTGCTGCCAGCCGAAGGGGCAAAAAAAAAAATTGTGATCCGCAGTGTCCGCACAGGTTCATTTATGTGCGGTCGACAGCACAGTGCCGGATCGGTAAAAAATGCTAAAAATAGTGTTGGACGGACGAGTGGTGGTCCCAACTCTTGGGTGAAGTTAAAAATACCTAAAATAGCCTTGGACGAGGGGTGGTCCCAAATCTTGGATGAAGTAAAAATTACTAAAAATAGCCTTGGACGGACGAGGGGTGGTCCCAAATCTTGGGTGAAGAATGGTGATCAGACACAACAGCTGGGGTGCTTCTGTACAGCAGCTATGGCTGAGCACGCGCCAGGTAAGCTTCCTGTTCCCCTCACGCTGAGTCCTCTACGGCATACTTTTTTTTTTTTTTTTTTTCAAGATCTTTTTTGAATTTGTCTTGGTTTTCAGGATTACTCCCACGCCTCTATTTTTTTTGCTGGGTGGGACAGACCCATCCCGACGATCTCCGGATGACCATTCCGGACAGCAGGCAGAGGCCTGGACGTCTGGGCTTGGAGCATAGATTTTATTATTGTTGTTAGGGAAATTTGCGGAATACCCCTGCATAGTTTTTATTATTGTTGTTAGGGAAATTTGCGGAATACCCCTGAAAGTACAAGTGTAATGCTAGAATACCCCTAATAGATGTGGGTAGAGCGGAGTAGCCCTCTGAAAATTTTCAAAAATTTGTGAAAGTCTTTGCAGTCTTCCCCGGTCAGGGGGGTGTGCAAGTTTGAAATTCTGCCCCTCACAGGAGTATAGCAGAAACTTGGTGACCCCCTGACAGGGGTAGAACACCGATTTAAATCCGGAGGGGTATTCCGCTCCATTGGCATCTTTTAGAGGTATTTTAGCATGTATGTGAACTTTCAGGGTTACTTTGCAAATTTGAAATTTTCCCTCATTGTTCCCCCCCCGCCCCCCCCCCCCCCTCCCCTCCCCTCCTCCCCGGCCAGGCAAACCTGTTGGCTTTCGTAGTTTTTTCGCTTTACAACCACTACCAAATGGCTGAAACCCCTTTCTGAACATATTCAGCCTCCTGATGAGTCAGTCGGTGAAACTCCAAGGAAACAAAACAGTCTGTCACAGCACCTCGTTTGTTGTCCTCTTCGCCCTCTCTGCCTATGGTTTACCGGGCAGCTCTCTTTGACGGTATATAATATCTATATGAGCTTTTTTTGATTTTTTTGACAATTATATTTATATTTATATTTATTGTTATTATTATTATTATTTTAATAAGCAGGCAACGGCCTTGAGATATCATCATTGAATTGACCGGCCCAGGTAATTCAGAGTGATTTGATTCTGCCGGGCATCTGAATGCATCTGGATTCGAAATTGGGTCTGATTCATACTTTGACAGTTCAGTTAAGGGGTGTACCAACGGAGCTTGGCCCGTTGGTTATAAATGGATCTTGAAGTCTGTATATTTGAGGCTTTTTTGTTTTTTTTTTGACGGTAATAAATGGATGTCGAAGGCGTGCAGGTAATATAAATTGAGCGCCAGCGAATCTGAATGGAGGGGGCTGCAGAATCCCTTGGGAAAGGTGGAGGCGAACAGGGGCAGGAGCCTGCCGCCGTCGCCGCCGCCGCCAGCACCAATGAAATGCCAGACGGGCAATCAGGTGAAGAATCGGCTACTCTGGTGCCCGGCGACCAATTGAAGGCTGTGGAGAATGGTGATGCTGCTGCTGCCGCTGCTGCTGCTGCTGATGATGATGATAATGGGGGGAGAGATGCAGTTACATTGGGAGGTAACATACAGGAGCCGGAGGAGGACACACGAGAGCGTATCGGTCTGCATCGAGGCCTCAGATCGGATGAATCGGAAGAAGACAGAATGCCCGAATGGAAATGGACCTCCAGAGAAGTCGAAGACCAGGAGGGTATCGTGGTGGTTTCTGAGGGAGTGATCAAAGAGGTAATCAAGCAAGGAGTAGGAGATACCCCTCCGCGCAACGCAACATGCACCGGTATGTGCATGCGCTTTGCCAATCACAATTCTTCATGCCGCTAAAATTGACAAATTCCGAAAGAGTAAAAGTCAAAGATGAAAATAAAAAAGGGGGGAGGCGACGAAGGCAAGGGGGGGTACATACTTTTGTGTGTGTGTGTGTGTGTGTGTTCCCCCCTCCCCCCCTCTGCAATTGCTGACTTTGCTGATGAAAGAAAGGTGGACATGATGCTTCCTGTGGGGCTTTTGAGTACTCGAGGGGTCAGTTGCGGTAAACCGCAGTGCTCGGGCCCCAGCCTTGCAAGGTTTCTTCATCACCTACTCCTGAAATTTTGGAGGCTCAGTGCTACCGCACCATGTTGGCAGGCGGCGCTAGCCACAAAAAAAA